CAGTGCTCAGGTAAGGAATATGGCTGCTCAGGTGCCCACCTCCTGAGGTTACAGAAGGCAGTGTTTAGGTGAAGAACATGGCTGCTCAGGTGCCCACTTCCTGGAGTTACAGGAGGCAGTGCTCAGATGAGGAACGTGCTGCTCAGGTGATCACCTCCCAGGGCTACAGAAGGCAGTGCTCAGGTGAGAAAGATGGCAGCTCCACTGCTGTGTTGTGTGATATGCCCCAGCAAGAAAACTCCCTCCCATCCTCCCCATCGTGGACTGGTGAGGGCAGTGTTTCTCTGTTAGTCCATTCTCACATTGCTAAAGGAATACTTGAGACTGGGCAATTCATAAAGAAAAGAGGTTTAATTAGCTTATCCTTCTGCAGGAAGCATGGGGCCAGTGTCTGTTCAGCTGCTTCTGGGGAGGCCTCAGGAAGCTTACAATTGTGGCAGAAGGTGAAGGGGTGCAGACAGGTCACAGGGCCAGAGCAGGAGCAAGACAGCAAGGGGAGAGGTGCCACACACTTCCAAACAACCGGGTCTCATGAGAACTCACTATCATGAGGACAGTACCAAGAGGGATAGTGGCAAAACATCCACCCCCAAAATCCAGTCACCTCCCACCAGGCCCCACCTCCAACATCAGGGATTGCATTTTAATATGAGATTTAAGTGAGAACACAGATCTAAACTGTATCAGTTGCTGAAGGATCCATCGAATCTGTCTAGCATTAGTCCTGAAAGTGCTCCTTAACCCGTGCTCTATCTCTTGCACAAATACCAGGTCTCTGCAGTTTGAGGAGACCGGGGCATGGCTGCTTGGGGGTTGGATGCCGCTTTGCTGCTACAATTGGTCTGAATTTCGTGAGTGGTGTTGTAGGACCAGTAGCACTGTTCTGTACCGAGGGTAGGTACACCTGAGAATCTAGGTTTCCGACTCTAAAGTCAATGAGGGCTGGCTGTGGTGGCTCACACCTGTAATCCAGCACTTTGGGAGGCCAAGGCAGGTGGATCATTTGAAGTTAGGAGTCTGAGACCAGCTTGGCTAGCATGGCAAAACCCTCTCTCTAGTAAAAATACAAAAATTACCCGGGTGTGGTGGCACACATCTGTAATCTCAGCTACTCAGGAGGCTAAGGCAAGAGAATCGCTAGAACCTAGGAGGTGGAGGGTGCAGTGAACCAAGATCGTGCCACTGCACTCCAGTGTGGACAACAGAGTGAGACTCCATCTCAAATAAATTAAGTTAAAAAGAAAACCTAAATAATTTAGTAATCTGGGGAAAAAAATCAATGAGGACTGGGCACAGTGGCTCATGCCTATAGTCCCAGCAGTCTGGGAGACCAAGGCAGGCAGATCACTTGAGCCCAGGAGTTTGAGAAAAGGTAAGGCAACATAGACCCCATCTCTACAAAAGATTTTAAAATGGTGGCGTGGTGGCACATGCCTGTGGTCCCAGTTACTTGGGAGGCTGAGTAGGAGGATTGCTTGGACCTAGGAGGTCAAGGCTGCAGTGAGGCCAACATCAGTGAGAACAACAAAGAAGAAACTCAGGAGCCAGCACTGCGGAAAGGGGTCGGGCGGCCGTGTAAGGCCAGAAGACCAACATGAGGTCCCACAGGTCATGCTCAGTGTGGGTCGGGGAAATTCCTCCTGAGCTGGCTTGCCTTCATTGTTGAACCCCAGGTCTGCTTGGCCATGAGTCACTCATGCTGCATTCTGAGGGGCTGGGGGCGTGTGCGCCTTGCCTGGACCAGCGCACTTCTGCTTTTCACAGCTGAGACTTACCTGGTGCATGGACTCTGTGGGCCCCTGCCTCTGTGCGGCCAGGCGCCCACCTCTGTGAATTTAAGAGTGGAACGTTAAAACCACTTTGTCATCCTTCTCCAAGTGATGATGGGTATGACCGGGGCTGGCCTGTTGGGCCATGTGGGTGCAAGGCCTCAGAGTCCTGGGTGTCAGGGGCCTTGGTTGCACATCGCAGCTTTGTCACCTGTAGATTCATGTGACCTTGGACAGGTCATGTGATGGGGCTGCACCTCTGACCTCTGGGAGCTGAGGATGATCGCATGAGCTGTTCCTGTGATGTCCCCTGAGCACAGGCTGGTGAGGGCAGAGAGCACATCAACAGTGCACAGGTGCGAGGCTTTGGTTGCTGGGCACTATGGGAGTCTTCCTGACATGCAGGTCCCAGAGGAGACCGGCTGCCACACCACCACGACCTCATCCCTTGTCTCCCTGTGCTCCAGCCTGCGCCTCTTCTCCAGCATTGATGATGGCTCCGGCTTCGCTGTTCCTGAGCAGGTCCTGGCCTTGTGGACCCAGGAAGGGATTCAGAATGGCAGGGAGATCTTGCAGGTTTGGAACTGGGTGATGCCTGAGCTGGGCAGGGGACCTGGGGAACCATCTGCTACAGAGGATGATGGATGGAGCACCCCAAGCCAGGGACCCAGCAGGGGTGTGTGCTCTGTGCAGAGAATCCCATGCAGGGAAGTCCAGGTAGAGACATTTCTTCTTCAATTTTTGCTACTAAAATATAGAACATTTTAATTTAAAAGGATAAGAAATAAAATACAAAGCTAGTGTGAAGAAAATCCATTTGAAGGTAGACTTTAGTGGCTTAGACATTTCCTCTGAGTGTTGGGCCAAGGAGGTTAGATGAATGGAAGGACACTCCTTGGTTGTGATGACACTGTCTGTTGGGCAACACTGTCACAGCAATTACTGATGAGCTCAGAGTGAGCGCAAACTCTCCCAGCGCCCCTGCCTGGCTGATTGAGCTGTTCTCTATGGCACCAAGTCACCCCAGACACTTCCCGCCATGGGCCGGGTGTCAGGAGGTGCATCCCTTCCTCCGTGTTCTTCTGGGGCTGCCTGAGAGCGAAGACGTGGTCCTTGCATTGGCCACAGCTCCTCATGGGCTTAGGCTTCCCAGAGGGACTCGGGCTAGCCCTGGGGATTTGGAAGGAGCTCTGCCTTGGGCACAATTTGACAATAACTGCAGGGGCAGAGGTGTGCAGTGGCTCAGCGTGGGTGAGGGAAGACAGCCTCATGGGGTGCGGTGAGGGAAGACAGCGTCACGAGGTGTGGTGAACTAGACTTATATTTTCATTTCCAAATTTCACTTTCCATTGTTAAAAAGAATGTCAACTGTACAAAAACCTATTAAATAAGAAAGCAAGCTTACCTGCCTGGCTCCCCCTATTCCGTGTAGTGGGTGTCTTGCAGAGCTTTTCCCTGGCACATGAGAAATTCATATACATTCTGGGTAAAAAAAATTTTTTTAGCAAAATTAGTATTATACCATGTATCTTGCTAATTTGTGTGACCCTTCACTTTTCCTATGATAAATCTGAGCGTTTATAGGGCATTGATGTTCTCGTGCTGCTGTGCCAGCATTTCTCTGAGGCTGGACTCCTGAAGTTACACCCTGTAACTCACAGAGGCTTTGTTATATTCCTTCAGAAAATCTCCTGTTAGCACAGACAATACAGGAAGGAGCCCAGACAGCCCTGGAAACTATCCACCCAACTCCACGGACCAAGTCCCTCATGGGCCTAACCTCAGCCATTACCGAGTCCCCGCAGATGGCAAAGCCAGACCTCCACAGCTGGCCTTGCGGTTGTCCTGAAAGCCAGAGGCAGAGGCAGGATCACCAAAAATCGCTCGTAGGAAGGGCAGAGAGCATATACCTCGTGGTTCCAAGAGGCCCAACACCCGACTCCATGGCTCTGGGGGTGCCCTGGCTCTGATGAGTGCGTCTTGCCTCTGCCCTTTCAGAACTTACTCGCTTTCCCATTTGTGCTAGAGCTGCTGGTGCTGCTCTGCGAAGACACCCTGGGCGGCTTCTCCCTCGCTCCATCACAGATGGTTGCCAAAATCTGCCTTGCAACACAGTCAACATTTCCAGCCTCAGGCTGCTGTGGCGGTCCTGTCCCTCTGTGCTGTCCAGTGGCATGGCAGGGAGCGTTTGCTTGTGTAGGGACAGCTTTCCAGCTGGCTCCCCAGCCTCTCCCAAGATGCCATTGCTCCTCAGGAGCTGCTGGGGAGTAGGCAGCATGGACGGTTAGTCTCCGCTTTACAGGAGACTCTGGGCCAGGCACATCCTGGCACCTGCTTCAGCCATTCTGCCATGGTGCCTGCTGCTGGCCTGAGTAGGGCGTTTGTAGCCACAGGTGGGAAGCAGGAGCCAGGCATACTCAGGCAGAAAAAGCAAATGCGATAGAACATTAGCTGTCGCTCCTCTGAGCTGAGGGGCTTAGGATGTGGGTGGTTCTGTTTTTGTTGTTTCAGTAAAATGTCAGCTGTTTTGAATTTATGAGGTGTATTCATCACAGTTCTGAGGGGAGAAATGCCCAGCTCTGGAAAGCTGTTTGGCTCTAAGCCTGAGGGCTGCTGTGGGGACCCTTTCTATCTCTGCATGCTCTTCCTGGTGGCATGAGCTGTGGGTCAGGCCTCATTGCGGGGGCTCCCAAGGCTCACATTCTTAAAACAGATGAGTTCAGAGGGAGGAGGGCCTTGTGCCCCAGCCTCCACAGCAGTCCCCATGAAGTGCCTGCAGGGACTGACACTTTGTCCAGGGAGAGGAGCTCTGTGTAGCCTGGGCCTACACACTCCTGAGGCAGAGGCAGGAGGACCAGGGCATTGACAGCCCCCCAGAGCTGCCTGGGATGGAAGAGGAACCTCAAGACACAGAGACCTTGTCACACAAGAGGGACAGATGTTGCCTGGGACAGCCGTCCTGGTGTAGGCCCTGGGCCAGGGAGGGAGCAGGAAAGTGTATCCTTGGAGAAGTCCCTCAGCTTCTCCTGCTTACCAGGCTTGCTACTTCCAGAGCCTGGACTTCAGCGTGGATGAGAAGGTGAACCTTCTGGAGCTGACCTGGGCCCTTGACAACGAGCTCATGACAGTGGACAGTGCCGTCCAGCAGGCAGCCCTGGCCTGCTACCGCCAGGAGCTGAGCTACCAGCAGTAAGAGGCCGCAGGGGACTGGGGAGCGTGGCAGTGTGGCTGGCCAGGCGGGCCTGGAGGGGGGTCTGAGACACACAAGACACCAGTCAGCCCTCGTCCATGCCACATAGCCAGTCCTGGGGCAGGGCTCTGCATACTGCCTGTCCCGTGCTCTCTGGTCCCGTGCTCACAGAGGGACAAGAACAGAGCCGAACCAGACCATGGACCAGGCAAGTGGCGGCCACTCATCTGTGTGTCTGGACTGGGTGGGGCCTGAGCACCTGGGGTGTCTGCATCCATACAATTTAAGGCTCACTGACGTTCCTCCCCCTTGGTGAGGTGCTTGGGATCTATATGTCGGGGGTCCCTGCTGAACCCTCTTTATCGAGGTTTCTAAGGGACTGACCTGAGCCCCCTCTCATCCTGCTGGTGCAGGTACTTGCCAGCACCAGGTGGGGCCCTGCAGCTGCCTCCCGTGCCAGGGGGCTTCCAGGCTAGGCCGTCAGCAGGAAGAAGAAGAGGAGCTTTTCAAATGTCACAAAGTGCCCCGTGACATTGGGCGGAGAACCCATTCCCTTTAATCAGGTCTGTTTGGTTTGGCTGACCATTGAGTCTGTCTGCTAAGCAGATTTGCAAAAAGATTGTTTTTGTGGTTTTGTCAGTGTTCTGAAGCTGCAGAAAAGATTGGCAGAAAACAAAATCTCGAGTCTGAAGACTGCATCTGTCCAGGTGCTGACAGTGGAGCCTCTGGCCTCAGGCAGCTCTGCAGATAGAACCAGAGAAAGGCTTCCCCAGGTCCCTACCTTGGCCTTGGTACAGGGAGGGAGAAAAGCCCCTTCTGTGGGAAAATAGTCACCAGAATAGCAGCTGCCACCAGTGATTTACACAGAACCTCAGTCAGGTCAGGGTGGCCAGAGCCGAGATGTGCTCATGTGGGTGCTGAGATACCCGTGCAGGGCTAACAGGTGGCTGGCCTCCTGCCCGCCACCTGCTGGTTACTGGATTAGGTACTTGCAATCCAAGCCCAGCCGTTGATGAGAGGGCTCACAGACCAAGTCCTACACACTCTGGGGCTGCTTAAGGGATGTGGCATGCTGTGGAGCTCCAGACTCAGTTGTCCTGGGTTAGAAACCTTCCTTGCCAAGTCATGTGGCCCCTTTCAGTGTACACATCTGTAAAATGGGCATAGCAATTGTAGAAACTGCCTTAGGGGCCAGCTGGTGGAGCAGCGCCCGCTGTACAGTTAGTGTGCCGGTTTCTATCATTGACGAAGATGCAGGGTCCAGAGCTGCCTGGCATGGTGGGTCAGGTCCCGTTTGACCCTGTCTCCTTCCTATGACAGGGGGCAGGTGGAGCAGCTGGTGGGGGAGCGCGACAAGGCGAGGCAGGACCTGGAGATGGCCGAGAAGAGGAACCTGGAGTTTGTGAAAGAGATGGACGACTGCCACTCTGCCCTGGAACAGCTCACGGAGAAAAAAATCAAGTGAGTTCTGGGCCCAGGTAGTGGATTCTTATCTGGCCTCCACAAGTCCTTTGAGGGCAGGTGGTGGACACAGGGCTGCCAGGGGGGCAGGGCTGTGAGTGTGGCTGAGTAGTGACCCCCCTGTTTCACCTGAGCCAGGGGGAGTCCAGGGGACACAACCGTGAGAAAGTAGAGTCCTGCTCTTTCTGGGATTGGTGCAGTGCCTGCCCCTGGCTGGGTGCCTAAGGGCCAAGGAGGTCCTGCCTCCTGCCCTCCTTCGCTGGGGTCTTTCTCACACAGGCCAAGCCCTTCTGCCCCCAGCTGTGTGCCTGTGATGCAGGAGTCAGGTGGCTGTGTTGCGAGGGCTGGCTATGGCTTCCTTTTGGCCCAGCAGGTAGAAGGAGCCCAGAGAAGAAGCCCAAACCCAGGTATCACGGCTGTAGTGACCCCAGTGTGGAGACAGTTGTGTGGAACAGTGGCTGGACAGACCAGAGAAAAGGATTTCTGGCTTGTTTTTGTTTTTTGAGATGGAGTCTGAAGCCCTGGCTGTAATGCAATGGTGCTGTCTTGGCTCACTACAACCTCCACCTCCCGGTTTCAAGCTATTCTCCTGCCTCAGCCTCCTGAGTAGCTGGGATTACAGGCGTCTGCCACCATGCCTGGCTAATTTTTATATTTTTAGTAGAGACGGAGTTTCACCGTGTTGACCAGGCTGGTCTTGAACTCCTGACCCCAAGTGATCCGCCTGCCTTGGCCTCCCAAAGTGCTGGGATTACAGGTGTGAGCCACTGCACCTGGCCTTAGATTTCTGATTTGTTTTTAAGGACACAACCACCACACTGGTTCATGAACAGAACATCTGAGGAAATCATGCCCAAGAGGGTGTCCCAGGCTCAGGCAGGGAGAGGGACTTCTCCGTCTCACTGTGGGGCACATCTCTGCCAGGGCTCAGCTGCTGTCCAACTGAAGCTTGCACATGCCTGGGAGGTCCTCCAGGGGTAGCTTAGGACAGGCTGGCTCCAAGTCACAGCTCTTGGGCAGGGGCAGCAAGGCATGGCTGGCCTCCCTGCCATTCTTCCTTGTCAGTGGGTCTGCTGGTGGCTTGGGAGGCCTGCCTGAGGCTGCAGTCCTGGCCCTGTAGTCCCCACGGCCTTTGGTTATTGGTCTGCAGGTCAGCCCACCCTCTGTAGTGCACAACACAGACAGCACTTGCTGCCATGGCCCTGGTGGCGGTGGCTCAGCTGAGTGTGGATCAGAGAAGAGCTTTGCGCAGTGGAGTTTCGTGGTGTGTCCCCTCTGTGGACTGCACCCTCCAGGGATGTGGGCGGCTTGCCTGGGGTGCCGCCCGGTCCCCAGGGTGGGCCCGCAGATGGGAGCCCAGCCCTTGGCCACATTGCCTGTTGGCATTGTGCCAGCTGCACTGTGGGCTAAAGCCTGAAGCCACTCTTCCTTCACCAAAGAAGCCCTGGGCATCTTTGTCGTGCACTTGGGGGACCAGGGGTTGAGGGGCTACTGATGGGTCCGTGGCCTCTGGGGAAGCAATTTTGGCTGGGGAGATGGCTGTGGTGTGTGGAGCTCTTCTGTGCACCAGGGGTCACCTTCCTTAACAGCCACTGGGACCAAATAGGCCATTTATGCCTATTGTTCAGCCAAAGAAACTGAGTCCTGGAGCAGCTCAGTAACCGGTCCCACGGGAGTGAGCGTGGGTGTATGAAGCTGACACCCAGGCTTCCCCGTTCCTGCCTTACACAGTTTCTAGGATAGCCGAAGGCCACTGGCCACCTTTTTTGGGGAGCAAGGGCCTCAGGTGGGAGAAGCACAAGGGCAGAGCCTGGCCACTCTCCTTCAGGCCTCCCAGAGCCAGGCACGGTCCGGGGTCAGCTCTAAGACCAGTGGCCCCCCATCTCCATAATCCACATCCTTGGGGTTTCCACGGATCTGTGCTGGGCAGAAGTGAATCCCTGCTGCCCCTCTTGCAGCCGCCACCTCCACATGGTTCAGTCCACAGGGGGCGCTGGGACAGGGCAGGGCCTCACCCCTTCCTCTGTCCGCCTGCACCTCCCAAGTCCCTTTTCCTTCTAGGGCTGGCTGGGGATGGCCGGACACAGCAGGTCCAGATCCACATGCACCTCTGTGTGGTGTGGGGAATGTGTGAGAATGCATGGGGCCTGTGGGGGTGCGAGGTCACGTGGGATGCAATGAGGGTGATGTGAGCATATATAGGGTGCAGCGGTGGTGGAGTGTGTGTGTGCTTGGGGTCCGGGGGGGGGTGCTGTGAGCATGCATGGGACACGATGGGTGCTGTGTGTGTTCATGGGGCCCATGGGGTGCAGTGGCGGTGTGTGAGCGTGCATGGGACAGGATGGGTACTGTGTGTGCACATAGGGCCTATGGGGTGCAGGGGGGGTGCTGTGAGCCTGCATGGAACACGATGGGTGCTGTGTGTGTGCCTGGGGTCCATGGGGTGCAGTGGGGGTGCTGTGAGCGTGCATGGGACAGGATGGGTACTGTGTGTGTGCATAGGGCCTATGGGGTACAGTGGGGGTGCTGTGAGCCTGCCTGGGACACAATGGGTGCTGTGTGCGTGCATAGGGCCCACAGGGTGCAGTGGGGGTGCTGTGAGCATGCATGGGACAAGATGGGTGCTGTGTGTGCATGGGGCCCATGGGGTGTAGTGGGGGTGCTGTGAGCATGCATGGGGCCTATGGGGTGTAGTGGGGGTGCTGTGAGCATGCATGGGGCCTATGGGGTGTAGTGGGGGTGCTGTGAGCATGCATGGGGCCCATGGGGTGCTATGTGGGTGCTATGAGGGTGTGTGGGGCCCTTGTGGTGCCATGTGAATGCATTGAACATGCTTGGGGCCTGTGGGGTGCAGTGGGGGTGCTGTGAATATGCTGGGGCTAGAGAGGTACAGTGGAGGGTTCTGTGTACATGCATGGTACCTGTGGGGTACAGTGGGGGTGCTGTGTGCCTGGGGCCAATGGGGTGCAGTGGGGGTGCTGTGTGCATGCACAAGCCCTGTGCAGCCTGTGGCCCTGTGAAATGTACGCTCTTGGTGCCGCTGGCTCCTGTGGCTGTGGTGGTGGGACACCCCTTTAGGACAGTGGTCATTTTCAGGGAAGCTAAAAGTTAAGTCTCCTTTTACCAAACATGAGGAGGTGTCTGCCAAGGTAAGAAGCCAGGTGCAGGGACGGGTGCAGGCAGTGGTTGGGGCCCTTGCCCTTTACATGGGGGAGCTGGGCCAGGCTGCGGGGCCCAAATCCCCTGCCCTGAGCGCAGAAGGCATTTCATTAGGAAGCCGTGCCCCCGCTCTCATGGGCAGGGAGGGTCTCTGTGGTCTCCATCAGCTGAGCTATCCTGGGCCAGCCTTGGAGCATCATCCTTCCCACCTGGTTGGGGAATTCCTAGAGGAGGGAGCAGGAGATGCCCCCTGGCTCCCAGGAGAGATGGCCTTGGCTTCGTTGCCTAACATGCCTAACATAGCTCACTGCCTTCGGGGGCGACATGAGGCCAGCTTGGGTCTCCACAGAGGAGACGATTGCTAATTTTTAGGAGCTGAAACTATGTCAGGAAGACCCTCTGGGAGCTCCATGAACTCATTTCCTCTTTCTGGACGCCCCCTCTCTTCTCCTGATGGCTCTGTTGTAAGCTTGGTTCGTCTGCCTCTCATTTTCATCCTGACTGTTGGGATCCGCATGTCTCTGTTGGTGCCACTGGGATCTTGGCGCTGCCTCTCAGGACCTGGGGGTTTCCAGGGCTCCTAGACAAGGGCACTCCTTGTGAGACACTTGTGTTCAAAGCTGGAAGTAAGTTGACTTTCATGCTCAATTTGAGTAACTAAGAACTGATTTGCTTCCATCCACACATGTAGAGTTTGATTCTCTCCCAACCATCTGGAAAGACTTTTGTGAATTGCCTTTCCCAGGGTTAGAGGATTAGAAACTCTAAGGCAGCACCTCTGTCCTTGAACCTGGTAGAGGGATGCATTAGAGGTGCTAAGCCACAGCCTCAACCCACGCGGCCCCGAGAGCTTGGGTTTTGTCCCATGAGTAATGGAAGTTATGAGTAGGTTTCTGTAAGTAGCTTCTATGATTGTATTAGGTTTTCCTTATTATAAACATAATGAATGATAGTGTTTATTACGCACATTTTAGAAAATATTATTTTTAAATGTTACAGAATATCCAGGAGACCAGAGAAACCAATGGGTGAAACAGGAGGATTTCACTGGCTAAGCCACTGGCTTAGCAGATTAGCATCCCAAGTCTGAGCCCCAGAGAGAGAAAATGGGGTACTTTTTATATATCCAGGATGACATAGCATCTAATAGATTTACAGAAGCCAGACAAAGAACAGTTAATTAATCTGTCACATGTCTGGTGATGTACATTACATTTGAAAAATAGCACTTTGAGAAACACATTGTACATTCTTTTGGTGTTATCTTGCCCTGTGACCTTGCAGCTGGTTAGCAAGAAAAACAGGAGTCTTGAGATACCTGGGAACTTTGCTGAGAATGTGGGGAGAATAAATAAGGTAGGTTTTACAGAGAGTTAGTTACTTTTAAGCAGAGCTGGGGGTTAAGTTTTATGTTAAACAGCACACAACACAGCAAAATTTATTATGTAGCAACTACAAATTATAAGGTTTTGTTTTTACTATTATTGCCATTATTTAATTCTCTTCTTTTAAAGGAAAAATAAAACCAGAAATCTGACTTTGCCGGGGGTATCACTCTTTACATTTTCTATATGTCTTACACCTCTTTTTTCTAGCCACATAATTCTTAGGAAATGATACCATGTTGTGTATGCTTTTATGATGGCCACAGAGCATCTCATTACTTGGCTCTTTGTGTGGATCTGCCGTAATTTGTTTAACCATTTCCCTATTTTTGTATATTTCGAAAGTTTTTAAAGAGTAGGCTGATAGGAAATATGTAGCTTTAACACAACCCCAAAAGGTTTGTGGAGTATTAAATTAGTCAGATTACTGTACTTCCTTCATCCTCTTCTCTTTTGAGTGTTGTTTCTT